AGGAGCGGGCGCTAGAGAGGGGATAGCTCAGGGAGACTTACTCCCTGAGGACAGTGAGCTCCTGGCACCTCCAGACCCCACCTCCTTTCAATCCGACTGTCCTCTCTGCAGAGCCGCCATCCTCCTGGACACCTGGGCCCTAAGCAATGATGATGCGGAATTCCCATTCCCAACAAAATAACTTGTAGAGAGTCTCCTGGACAGCAAGATCAAACCAGTCAATCCTAAAGGAAATCAACCCTGAATATTCACTGGAAGGACTGATGCTAAAGCTGAAGTTCCAATACTCGGCCACATGATGCCAAGACCCCACTCACTGGAAAAGACCCTGATGCTTGAAAGAACTGAAGGCAAAAGGAGACGGGGACAACAGAGGATGAGATGGTTGGATGGCATCACCGACTCAAAGGACAAGAGTTTGAGCACACTCCGGGACATAGTGAAAGACAGGGAAGCCTGGCGTGCTACAGTCCATGAAGTCACAAAGAACTGGACATGACTTACCAACTGAAAAACTAACAACAAAATAATTACATAAGAATTTTTAAAAAGTTGTTTTTTTTGGCCCCACCCAGCAGCATGAGATCGTAGTTCCTTGACCAGGGATTCCCCTGCAGTGGAAGCGCAGAGTCCTAACCACCGGACCGCCAGGGAAGTCCCATCAAAACAGATTTTAAAGTACTCCTCCTTGGAGTCCTCTCCGAGTGTCCCTGGAGGCCAGTTTGGGGTGGTATTGGAAAAAACCGGGAAGATGATGACGGGAGAAGGGGCACGGGAGGCCCCTGGTGAGCCCGAGTCCAGAATTCAGCCTCCACGCAGAGGCTCTGGTGTTCCGGGGATGGGAGTTGGGGACTCTCCTCTCGGGATGGGAGGACCACGGCTGTCCCACCGAAAACACGCTCAGCAGCAAAACTTCCCTGTCCTTTTTGAGCACTTTCAGGAGCACTTCCCCGTCCTCCTCCAACCTTATGCAGCTCAGAAAGCCCGCTACAGACTCACGCGACTGGAGAGTCAAAAAACTTTTCATGGACAGGCATCTTTCACAAAAATGTTATTCCTGTTAACATGTAACGGGTGTTATTGTCACTATTAGGTGAATTAATAAGCATCTCTAAAATTTCAGTTTACATTTCTAAAAGAGGACTCTGCCACCGATGCCGATGGGACCCCAGCAAGTCTGGCTCCCTGTCTCGGGAACCTCGGTGGGAGGGGGTGGGGAACATAAAGGGACCAAGGGACAGGTCTGGAAGGGGCCAGAATAAGCTCACAGGTGGGGAGAGAGGGCTGTTCAGCTTTCCTTTCAGCAACAGATATTATGTAAGAGTTGCTGTAGAGACTTTCAAACAAAACTGAGCTGAAACAGGATAAGGAAGACACAGGACCGGAGAACAACACTCGAACGACCTTTAATGTGCTTACAACCAATCACTTTACAAAAAGCATCGACGCTTTTTAAAACATAACTTTGGACACAGTACACAAACTGAAATAACGATAGCAAAACACACAGTTGCGTGGTCTGATCCTCTGCAATGGACTCTGGGAATCTCCAAGCAGTTTACCAGGATTCTAAATGCTCATCCAATGAGCCCAGCTGTGTGTCTACAGACTTGATGCTGCACTGAGGACAGCTGCTCAAAGATGAGTTCGCTCTGTCAGTTGCCACAGGTATACAAGGTCAAGGTCCCCGTGAACTCATCTGTGTCCTCACTCCTTAAAAGTGTGCATGAAAGAAACCAGCAGGAAGTAATAAGCGGAAACTGATTCCCAGGACACTTATGGAAAAGCAAGTCAAACATTAACCATTCTGTTTGAAAGGGGAAAAAAAAATCAAAGATGTACCGAATATATGTTAGTCAAGGAGTAGAAATTTCTACTAAAAGACAGAAGTTGAACAGCAGCAGTTACGACTTTTAACGCTATTTTGCTGCCCTGAGAGATATATCCTGGCCATATATCTTGCGGGGAAAACTTTCAAGAGGGGTCACGCCTGATCTATCCCATGCAGTTAGAAATGGCCAAATGTGAAACTCACCAAGTCATTTTAGAGATGAGGAGACAGGGCCACGGAAGTTAGGTGCCACTGCAGACGGCACCCAGGAGTCAGCATTTGTGCTCACGAACCCCCGGCTGAGGCACTGCTCCTAGCCACACTTGTCCTGCCTGCAGGACTTCATCTTCTTGCTAAAGACTCATGCCTTTAAATGGCCCCCATTCTAACAACAAAGCAGTCTGCGATGCTAGCCACCAGCTCCTTTGTTTTCCTTGAGGCCAGATTGTCACTAGCTAGGACTTTGTATAAAGACCTTCCCCCACACTTGAAGTGGCTGGTATACTGAGTCAGCCGCAGGCCAAGTTCTTTCACGTGTTCTTGGCTGGGATGACTTGTCTGCCCTAGACGAGCACCTGCTCTGTACCCCTCGGGTTGTGAGGTCCAGGATGTGCTAACTGTCCTAAAGGAGGTGTGTCTGCAGGGTAACCTGAGCCAATGCCGGCCGTGAAGGTGATGTGACATCTGAAAGGTTCGAAAAGCAGCGTGGGAAACTGTAAGTAAGTAACTGTTAGTCGTGTCCAACTCTTTTCGACCCCATGGACTGCAGCCCACCAGGCTCCTCTGTCCATGAGATTTTCCAGGCAAGGATACTGGAGTGGGTAGCCATTTCCTTCTCCAGGGGATCTTCCCAACCCAGGGATCGAAGCTCGGTCTCCTGCACTGCAGGCAGATTCTTTACTGACTGAGCTACAAGGGAAGCCCGTGGGAAACTATAAACCCATGTGAACCATTCACATTTAAACATTCCAGCTCAAAGTAACATCGGCAGACAGGAGAGGAAGAGAGTGTGAGATGGTTTCATTCACCCGTGTGAGTCAATCGCACTGGCTAAGGGGGCGGGACTAGAAGTGAAGCATGGACAGGAAGACACAGGGGAGAGAGACAACAGCGGGAAAGCAACGGCCAACTCAGAGTCCAGAGGAACGGAAGAGTCTTGGCTTATGCTCCTGCAAAATATACAGTGACCTGCCAAGTGTCAGACTTAATATGCCATGTTGCCTCTGGGATCCTGAGGAGGAAGCAGTGAAGGGCCCAACATTTCAGTACTTTTCAGTGGTACTTTCAATCTGTAGCTCCAGCTCTTAGATAGTAGCGCTACAAAAAATACAAAAAGATAAGTTGGGCATCACACTCAAGACACTGCAGGCCACACCTCAAGACTCTTAAGCCACTGACAGTCTAAGAACTCAATCCACCTTAAACAGGCACTTGACTTAGGAGTGGCTTTGGGATTGCTGAGTTTCTGAGTTGTTTTTTTTTACCCCAGGTTCAGACTTAACATCTTCCATCAGGTTCTTTTCATTCAAACAGGAATGAATGAACCATACGCACTGATCTGTTTGTGTGCAACATAACAAGAGACAGGTATGTGAGCAAGAAGGGTTTGGGGCAGCACTAGGAAGACTAAGCAGCTTTCATGAAAGATCAACAAGCCCAAAAAAGGAAGAGAAAAGGCATATACCTTCGCACAGCAGCTAAATTTCATTTAAGTCAATTTAGTCAAAAGAGTGACATGGAAGTAAGCCAAGTCAAACGCCAGAATGCCACAGTGAAACGCGACTGTCTGCTATAAAGGAAGGACAGGGGAAGACGGGCACAAAGATACTGGCATTTAAGGAACCTTTTGGATTTCTGTTTTTTGCTTTGGGGAGGGCCACAGATTTCCCGGAGTAAACCACCTCCTGAAGAGGAGGGGGACTTAGAATGTACCAAATGATAAGGAAAAGATAACCTGGGGCTATATATATTTAAAAAAGAAAAGGCTAGTGCAGGTAATGGCCTGTTAACTTATTTCCCAGACAGAACTGAACTCTATTCTAATTTGGCTTATAGGAAAGGGTCTGACACTTGTAAATTACTGTCATTGATGACTCAAGACTAGGGACCTAAACAGTCCAGCTCTGGAGAACTATGACACCAAATTAAGCAGCTTCTCTGCTACCAAGTATTCAAAACAACCCATTAGCTCCGCCTGGGTCCGTGCAGCTCCCAGACCCTCAGCCCAAGGTGCTCTAGCTCAACCAGTCGCAAGGAAGAAAAGGTGAAGCCAAGAGCTGGCTCTGTAGACGCCCTCAAAGCACACTCCCACCACATAGACACAGTCCCCACAGAGCACTCGGGCTGCTTTCTCAATAAGCCCAAAGGCAAGAAGCGAAAGAAGTCAGAATTGGCCAATACAAAGAAAAACAATGTGAAAGATGACGGACGATTGCACAAAAACAGCAATACCAGAAAACCCAAACTATACCAACACTGTTAGGGACAGAGGCTAATGGGATCGGGCACTTACAGGGAAGAGCACAGCAAAGTCTGTACCCTGGAGAGCAAGGGTGACGGGGGGAGGGGAGGACGAGCCTGCCTGCGAGCATGCTCAGTCGCTTCAGTCGTGGCCGGCTCTTTGCGACCCCATGGACTGTAGCCCCCCAGCTCTTCTGGCCATGGGATTTTCCCCGCAAGAATACTGGAGTCAGTTGCCATTTCCTCCTCTAGGGGATCTTCCCAGCCCAGGGATCAATCCTGCGTCTCCTGCATTGCAGGCAGATTCTTAACCACTGAACCAGGGAAGCTGAGAGACGGACCTGGCCCCTTGCAAAGGAAGAGGGAGGATGGGAAAACTGAAAGGAACCTGAACCCAGTCTGAAAGAGTCTCTGACGCCAGGCTCCACAGCAGGGCTGCTAGATTTCAGGTGGTGGTGGTGGCAGGGATGGGGTGGTGGACTTAAATATACGAGCTGCACCAGTACACAACTTGTCTGCAAACATTCTTATTTCCCCAAAGACGAATAGTACAAAGCCAAATAACTAAAATGGAGGGCTATGGGAGACACGAGAAAAAGATCTCATATAGGGAAACATTTCAGAAGAGCCTAAATTTTCTCACCCTCAGTTTTCCTACCCTAAAAAGGTGTTTATGAAAAAAATGGAAACAATACTTAAGAATAGTTACCTCTGAGTCTATTATGTCTTGTCCTTCTTTTGAACTTTTTCCACTTTTCCCTGGTTTGGGTGATTCCTGGGAAACATCAAGCAGAATCAATTAGGCTTCTCAATTTTTAGACTGCGACACCTCAGATAAACCAAAATGCAGTTTCACAAGTATTTAGACAGTTTAACTATGGCTTTTAATAGCTTTCATCAATACCGTCACGACTTACTTCCTTTATATGGTTGAGTTAAGAGACCCAGGATTGTGATGTGACACCCACCGGCCCACCCAAAATTCAGATTCTCCCTGTTTTCTTCGTCTGCATTATCTGGCGCTCAAAACTTAAAGCAGAAACAGGTAAACACACGTTTGTACCATGCTCTCGGCATCTTGAAAGAGGCACATCACAACCCCTTTTCCCCCTTCCCACACTCAACTCTGGGAGCGAGGATGTCTGGGGTGATTCTGAAACGCTACAGAGATCCACCTGAAGCAAAATCATACCCTCCCCACCCGTATGCAAACGCAGCACAGTCACAGCCATCTCCGCCGCCGCCACCCAGGATAATAATAGTATTTGAGAGCCCCAGAGCGTCCCTCTGGAGGGCAAACCGTTCTCCCCAAGCATTAAGCCCGGTCCATTCGCTGCCCTCCTCCCCGGCCGGGGGGATCCTGCTGAGACGCCTCCACCCCGGGCTCGGAAGCCCCTGTCCAGGCGCCTGCGAGGATGGGTCAACCACCTCCGCGGCCCCACCTGCCCTCTCGCGCCCACCGCGCGCGCCGCCCCCCAACCCCGGCCGCGACCCCCACGCCCCCGGCCGGTCCCGACCTGGGCTCCGCGGCCCCGGGTGGACCCGCTGCCCCTCGCCCCTACCCCGCACCCGCGCGATCCCGGAGCCCCGCCGGGCCCCACTCCCGGGACGCTTCCCCGCTGCCCCCCGCTCCCGCCCCGTCTGGCGGCTCCGGGGCCCGACTCACTTTCTCCTTCTTGTTTTTATTCGGCATGGCTGGTGCGGACCGCCGCCGCCTCCCCCGCCGCTTGCCCCCGCCCCGGCCGTCGCGCCTCCCCCTCCCGGCCGCCGCCGCCGCCGCCGCCGCCGCCGCCGCTGCCGCCTCCCGGGGACTGAGTCGTTCGCTCGATCGCGGTTCCCTTTTTCCAGGCTCCCAGAGGCTGCGGCAGCCGCGGCGGCGGCAGCGGCGGCGGCGGCGGCGGCGGAGGCAGTGGCGGCTTCTCTCCGCCCCTCCCCCGGCCCGCCCCGCCCCTCCCCGCCCCCTTCCCCCAGACCTAGCCCCGCCCCCGCCCCGGCCCGCGGCCCCGCCCCGGCCCGCGGCCCCGCCCCCAGCCCGCGGCCCCGCCCGCCCCGGCCCCGCTCCGGCCCCGCCCCCAGTGCACGGCTCCGCCCCGCCGCCCTCCCGGCAACCCGCCATTGGCCGAGGCGCCTCACGTGCCCTAACGTTCTTGGTTCTCCCCGCTCCTTCTCGCGTCCTCGATCTCCCTCCCCGCGCTCCGGCTCGGGTCCATTTCACGCAGGGCAGCGGCGGCGGCTGGGGAGGGAGCGTCGGGCTTCGGCTGAGGCGACAGACCGGAGACTGCTCTGGAGGTTCGGGACAGATAGAGCAGGGGGCACATTTGAAACGGATGGCAATAACTTGTGCGGCCAGAGGGACGCGAACGGCGACTTCGGCCTCTGGCCGCCGCGGCGCTGGGTAGCGGCTGAGGCGGCCCGGCAGCCACGCGAGAAGCGGTTTCGCGGGTTCCCGCTAGGCCCCGCCTCCTGGAGGCCGCCCCGCCTCCTGCGTTGGCTCCGCCCCCAGGAGGGTCCGCCCGCCTTCTTCTGTGTTGGCCACGCCCCAAGGGTCCGCCCCGCCTCTGGTGGCCCCGCCCCGCAGGTCAGGCTCCTGCTTTGCCAATGGGATTTTACTTTATTCTTTAATTTGGCTTGATCGTAAGCCATATGAAGAAACCTCTGCATTATGACCAGGAATCACGTGGTTCATTTTACCTCGCTAATAGCTCTTGGGAGATGAGTTTTCCAAGGGAAGTGGGCTTTTTGATATTTCCGCAGTTTGTGTAGTGCAGAAATACTTTAGGTATTAAGACTCTAAGAGTGAGCGGATTTCACGTGCAGGGACCGTTGGTGTCTCACCTGTGAAGATTACGAACTGACTCTTATCTGGGCACTTCGAAACCATTGTGTTCTCTTAGGCCTGGGTTTTCACTCTTGAAAGTTGCCAGGCAAAGCATTTTCGGTTATCCTGTGTGGCTCTGCCGTGAGAAAGCTAAAAGAAGAAAAAAAGAACTAATGTGAGGAGTGTCGTGGGAGGTCCTGAAAGTAAGTTCTGCATGCAGGTGTCTGAATGTGTGCCTTTAGACGAATATCCTCAGGTAAATTGCACAGCCCCAAACAGCTATTTGTGCAGAAGAAATGGTTTTTGATTGGTCTTTTAAGTGGGTTAATAGTTTCTCCAAAAAAAGAAAAAAGTTTAAAAAAGTGTGGAGAGGGTAGAGCAATGCCTCTGGTTAATAACACTTCATTTTTAAAATGACATATATGCTGACATTTAATAAACCCAGTGTAAGTCAACATCAGAAAGGATCATTCTGAAACTGTTAGTTGATGACCACAGAGTTCTAAAGGGGCTCAGGGGCTTCCCTGAGACTTGTCTGTTCCACCAGTATTCTTGTATCATAGCCCTTGATGCAGTATTGCCTGTCATTCATTCATTCAACATTTTGTTGGATGCCCACTGTGTGCAAAGCACAGTGCAAGGGATACCATGGTGAACAAGGCATGACCCTTGTCCTGAAGCACACCAGATCCTTGGGGGTGGAAAGAAGAAAGTAATCACAGGATGTGACATGGTGACATGGCAAGCCTGCACAGTCTGGAGTGAGAAGGGCCTGGCTTGGAATCGTGAAAGAACACAGGAGTATTTTTATGGCCGGAGATGAGAGTGAAGGAACAAAGACTTCTAATTAAGACTAGTAGGCTTTGGCAAGGAATTGGGCTTCTTTTTGAATGTATAATGGTTCGGGGTCACTAAAGGATACTAAGCTGGGGAGTGACTGGCTCACATTTGCACGTTAGAAGACATTGTGGCAGGAGTGTTGGGGGAGGGGAGCAACCAGGCTCTCATTCTGGTCCAGATGCTGCCTGTGAGGCCTCTTGACGACAGTAACAGGAGGAAGGATCCCAAATACCCTGGAGGCCAACTTGCTCAGGCGGGAGAGCCAGAATCGAAGATGAAAGGCTGATGCCCGTGTTTGTAGTTGGGTACCCTGGTGATGAGGAAGGGACATAAGGGGATAGGAGTGGAGAGCAACAGGCTTTTGAGAAAATGTGATTTCAGTCTTGGGACATGCCAAATTTGAGCTGCAGCTGCAACATGCTAGTAGGGGTGTTGACTGCAAATGGAAATGCAGATCTGACAGAGTGTCAGTGCGTGTCGGGTAGATGTTTATCAGGTCAGCTTGAGGGAAAATGGGCAAGATATCAGAAATAGTTACCACCCAGTGACCTTGAAACCACAGTAACTGGAGAAACTGGAGTCAACACTGTAAACCTACCATGTGTGGTCCTCAATGGCATTGAGCTGGTTTTCATTTGTCCACATTAGAGAGGGCCATCTCACTGCCAGTGTTATAGCCCAAGTTAGTTATATAATGTTCCCAGGGGATGCTGGGAACCGTGCCGTGTCCTGGCTACTGTGGCATTTACAGGAATGCTGAAGGTAGAGGTAGATCCTGGTTTCAAAAGAAGGGATTCAAAATAGGCTGTCAAAGCCTTGATGGGAGGAGAGTTCGGGAGAGATTGGATATATGTGTATGTCTGAGTCCTTTTGCTGTTCTCCTGAAACTACCACAACATTGATAATTGGCTATTGTTGTTGTTCAGTTGCTAATTCGTGTCTGACTCTTTGTGACCCCGTAGACTGTAACCTGCTTGGCCCCCCTCTGTCCATGGGGTTTTTCAGGCAAGAATACTAGAGTGGGTTGCCATTTCCTTTGCCAGTAAATTGGCTATGTCCAGTACAAAGGAAAAAGTTTAAAAAAAGCAAACAAAAACCAAACAGGCTGTTGAACTTCCTCAGTGGTCAGTGGTGGAGAGTCCGCCTGCCAGAGCAGGAGGCACAGGTTCCATCCCTGGCCTGGGAAGACCCCACGTGCCACGCGGCAGCTGAGCCCGTGAGCCACCGCTGCTGAGCCTACCTGCTCCAGAGCCTGTGCTCTGCAAGAGAAGCCACTGCAATGAGAAGCCCGTGTCCCACAACTCGAGATTGGCCCCCGCTCACCTCAACTAGAGAAAGTTGTGCAGCAATGCATGTACAGCAATGCAGACCCAACACAGCCAAAAATAAATAAATGCATTTAAAAAAAACAGGCTGTCAAAGGGATATAGAGATAGTGCGTGTGTGTTTATACTCACTCGTGTGTGCATGTGTGTTGTGAGTGCATGTGTATCTGAGATGCTCCGTGTTCATAAAGTCACTGCCCATATTACACAAAACCCCTTTTCTTCAGACCCCCACCCTTCTGGAACACTTTTCCTGAGGATGGTCCCCAGTGACCCAGAAATGCTTTTTCCATGTCCGGCTCCTCTGTACAGTGGATTGCTGCATTTGTGGCCCCGAGGTCTCTCAGGGCCAGAGAGGTCCCAGAGGACTGGGGTCCTTGGTTGCGGGGCAGTCATCAGCCGCAGGACCACAGAGCCTTGCTGACTCACTCGGGCAGGGGCTGGCTGGTGCAGAAAGGCAGGGCAGAGAGGGGACGGTTCCTGGTGCAGAAAGGCAGGGCAGAGAGGGGACGGTTCCTGGTGCAGAAAGGCAGGGCAGAGAGGGGACGGTTCCTGGTGCAGAAAGGCAGGGCAGAGGGACGGTTCCTGGTGCAGAAAGGCAGGGCAGAGGGACGGTTCCGCCCCACAGGCAGCTGTGGAGCCCTTTTGTGCGCCCACCCTCAGGACTCCTCCCCACTCCCTACCCTCAAAGATGCCTGTGACGAGCCTGCCCTCACACGTTCCTCTGAGGCTGGGCCTGCCTCGGTCCTGCCTCCTCTCACGTTCCTCTGAGGCTGGGCCTGCCTCGGTCCTGCCTCCTCCTCAGGAGGTCCCAGAGCCTCCTGTCCAGGCTCCAAGGATGTCAGCCTGGGTCTCATCACGTCACTTACTCAGACTTTCAGCTGAGGCTCCTGGGGGAGTGATCACGTCACAGGCGTTCTGGGTTTCCCAGGACCCGGTGTTGGTTGAAAAGACCGATTTCCCCTGCTTCTGTGGTTTGAGCCATCATCTCAGACTGTTCTGTGACCTCCCCCTGCCTCTTGTCTCCCCATCAGCCTGGGCTGTGCCGACAACCCCCTAGTCTGTACAGTAGGCTCCCCATCCCCACTCCTCCCCGCTCCTGGCCAGGGGCTGCCCACAGCCTGGACGGGGCAGTAACTTCTTCAAGGCCACCCCAGAGCCTTCTCCACTCTAGAAGTTCAACTCGTTTACTCCCCCTCTACTGTTTCCTTACTTCATTTGCACAGATTGGTCATTAAACACTCATTTCTTGTGGAATTTTGGTCTATTTATTCACACATTACAAGTTTGCAGAGTAGGAGTGGAGGGGTAGGGAATACATTTCGGTCAGATTATACTGAAGTGAAATGTCCACACGGAGTTTTGACCACAGAGCCCGGCACACAGTCAGTTTAGTTGCCACCGAGTGACAACGATTTGATGTGAGGTGCTCTTCAGTTCTGGGGATCCAAGGAAACACCCCAAGGTCACAAACCTAAGGCCCAGGGGCAGCCAGGCCACTCAGTTAGACTAAGGAAAGCCTCTTGCTTGGCCCCTTAAGAGCTGTGATAACTGCCAGGGGTCAGTTGGTGAATCACCATCTGGCAATCAACCACCCAACTCTGCAGGGTGTCCTTGCTATGACAAACCTAGACAGCGTATTAAAAAGCGAAGGCATCACTTTGAGGACAAAGATCCATATATGGTTTTTTCATAAGTCATGTACAGATG